TTCTAGAGACGTATGGAATAAGATCTTGTTCTAGCAAGGAAGGAGAAAGGTAGGCACAGAGCTTGCTCTTTCTACTCTCTGGGGGGTATCGACTCAAGGCGTCAGCATGCGGGATGGAAAGGCCCTTTTTGTACTCCACCTGATATTCATATTCGTTCAAAGTAATAAACCAGGCGATTGCTCGACAGCTATCACTTTGACGCTGTCGACTCAGAAATGGAATAGCAATGTGATCAGTGCGGATGATAAAAGGATGTCCCCAAAGGTAGGAGCGAAATTGAGAGACACCGTAGTAAACAGCTAACAGTTCTCTGTCAGTGTTAGGATACCTGGATTCCGCTTCGTTTAAAGTACGACTAGTACAACCTATAAGTACCTCTCTTTTTCCATGTTTTTGCGTAAGGACGGCCCCAATGGCAATGGCGGATGCGTCAGTGGTTAGTATAAATTTGTAGTTAAAATCAGGGAAGGATAAAATGGGAGCCGAGAGGAGACATTTTTTCAGACAGTCTACTGCTTCCTGTTGTAGTTTAGTCCATTTGAATTCGGATTCCTTTTTTAGCAGTAGATACAGGGGCTTTGCTTTAAGGGCAAAGTTCTGGATATAGGAACAAAAATACCAAACCAATCCTAAGAAAGCTTGAATCCCCTTAACATCCTTGGGAGTGGGAAAATTTTGGATGGCCTCTATCTTGACCGGATTTACCCGTATCCCAGCTTCACTGATCAGGAAGCCTAGATACTCTATTTGGGTACGGAAAAGTTGACACTTAGAAAATTTGACCTTGAGGCCAGCTTCATCCAACCTAACCAGGATATCAGAAAGGTGTTCTAGGTGCTGATCGGCTGTTTTCGAATATATAACGATATCATCTACATAGATGTACGCGTAGATTCCGAGACAGCCATCGAGCACGAGGTGCATTAAACGCTGAAAAATAGAGGGACTGTTCTTTAACCCCATAGGCAGCCGAATGAATTCGTAATGCCCCATGGGTGTAGAGAAGGCTGTTTTCCAACAGTCTTCTTCTCGGATTTTCACGTTGTAGAAGCCGTGCAATAGATCCAAAGCTGTAAAGAAGCGAGCATTTCCCAATTCCTCAAAGATTTGATTGATACGGGGTAAAGGATGGGCATCTGTGATGACATGGTCATTTAATCGACGAAAGTCGACGACCATTCTCCAACCACCGTCTTTCTTTTTGACCATGAGGGTCGGACTATTGTATGGGGATTTGGATGGGCGGACTATTTCATGACTCAAGAGTTCGTTGGTGTATGCGTTTACCTTTGGGCGCATCATATGAGGCAGGGGGTATTGACGAGTAAAAATGGGTTTCTCAATGTCCAGCGGTATATCGGCCTCATAAAGAGGGCATTCTCCTAAATGATCAGATTTTTTCGCTAAAACGTTTTTAAAACGTTTCAGCGATTTTCTCAAAGGACTTACCAGTCGGTCCGGGCACTCCAAAAGTTTGATATTCTCTTCTATTAGTTGAGAAAGATTCTTTTCTTCTAGTTTACCATGAATTCCTTCCAATGTATCTTTGGCTGCTTCGGTCATTTTGGTACCCTTGAGGTTGTTCACTTGGACTTTCGGGACTATTTCAAAATCGTTTGCAGTGGCCGTGGTAAGAGTTACTCTGGGAGATATTGTGTGATCTTTGTCCCCTAAATTCATGCACAATACAGGATAGTATCCTTTGTGTTTTTTAGACACACTTCGGGCTATGGCTATATTTCCACAAAGGCTGTTGGAGACCAAGATAGGTTCGTCTTTGATAGTTTTCTCTACATTTTCCGAAATCTTAGTGAATAGTAACAATTGGGATCGTTTTGGGATGACCGCAGCAGTTTGTAAATACAATCGGAAGACCATAGCCGGTGCCGATCTTTCTTTTCTAATGGCCGTTCTGATCTTACGTCCTTTGTTCGACTCGGTGAAAAACTTTATCTTCACTTTGTTCGAAGAAAGGAATCTGTCAGAATACGAAATTTCGGCCTTCATTTGCTTTAATAGATCGGATCCGACTATTCCCTCAAATTCATGGCCACGGATCTCAAATATTATAAATCGAACCGTGGCTAAGTACATAGAGTTACTGTACAATTTTACACACACAATCCCAGAGACGGGCATTTCCCGTCCCTCTATCGTTGCAATGGTCATAGCTGACGACATGGGGGTTATTTCTGGTTTTAGTACACTATTAGTTAAAAGAGATATTTCAGATCCAGAATCAACTAAAATACAATCGGAAGACCATAGCCGGTGCCGATCTTTCTTTTCTAATGGCCGTTCTGATCTTACGTCCTTTGTTTGACTCAGTGAAAAATCTTATCTTCACCTTATTCAAAGAAAGGAATCTGTCAGAATACGAAATTTCGGCCTTCATTTGCTTTAATAGATCGGATCCAACTATTCCCTCAAATTCATGGCCACGGATCTCGAATAATACAAATCGAACCGTAGCTAAATACATCGAGTTGCTGTACAATTTTACACACACGATCCCCAAGACGGGCATTTCCCGTCCTTCTATCGTCGCGATGGTCATAGCTGACGACATAGGGGTTATTTCTGGTTTTAGTACACTATTAGTTAAAAGAGATATTTCAGATCCAGAATCAACTAAAAATTTTACTGGGAAGCAAGTGATGTTGGTTTGCAGGATAATCACCGGTAACCTTGTTGGGGAGAGGGTTGAAGTCCCAGTCAATACTCGTTTCCCGAGTACTGCTCGTTGTCTTTGATGTACCCTTCCGGTAATAGTTCCTCCTTGTCTTCGTCACCGTATTCCTCTTCGTCGTATTCGTCACCACCTTGCAACTCGTTCACAAAATTCACTTTTCGTCCACATCTGCGTCCACGCGAGTTTCCGCCCATTGCAGAGCGACCTCTAGCCCCGCCCGTGGACAGCCGCGGAGGGCGGCCATCTTTCTTGGGGGCCAGGTACACAAACTTCTGCTGCGCAGGTTTTGCGGATTCCCGACTCGCGTTGCGGCATTCACTGCGAAAATGGCCCTTCTGGCCACATCCGTAACAGGTCGTTGACGCGCGTATGTCAGGTGCTCCAACGCTACCATTAGCAGGGGGAGTTCGCGGACGATATGACAATTGGTGTAAAGATGAAGAACAAACTGCCCGGTGGTCCCTTTCGCGATCCTCGACGGAAATCGCGTAAGTAATGGCCGACTCAAAATCATCAAAAGTGGTACGAATTGAGTCCCCAACTTCCGGTATGAGCCCGTCCATAAAAGTCGTCAAAAGGAAACCATCCAGAAAATTCTTTTTCCCGTTAAACTCCCAACATTCTTTAAAGTAAAAGGGGTTAGGAAGCAACGCGGCTGGTTGATTTTCCCTGCGAATTACCTTTAGTTTACCTGGGGGATCGCCCAGCAAGAAGTTACCTGCATGGCGCACCCGAGCTCCGAAAGTTTGCACCAACTTGTTCGGGTACTGCCGCATATTCTTCAGTTCCTTCATCAGCTTTGATATTACTTTATGTCCAAACATCTCGTCCTGCAAAGTTTTAACTATAACTCGGTAGTGAGCCGTAGTCAAACCCTGTATGGAGGTGACATAAATTTGGGCTTCTCCCTTAAGCTTACTCAGTAGGTTGGTACGGATACTCTCGTCAGAGTAGACTCCATCGTAAAGGGCACCTTGGAAGGTAGCCCACCACTCTTGCCAATTTAATGGGCCGGTTCCATCAAATGATGGTATTTGACTCATTGCTTGTGAAGCCTGTTGTATACTCATGGTGGCGGATCGTGCCTTGCGCAAATGCTCAACGTTGTAGAAAACAACTTCATCGGCGCTCGGTTCGGTGATCTGATCTAACATTAATTCTTGGTTCACGAGTGCATGACGGACACCGATACCATCTGCGAAGTTCTTTTTCTTAATGCGCAGTTCCTCCTTCAGGTGTTTTGAAAACAGCAAGAGTTGAGTGTCATCTATCGCCCTATCATGGAGTTCAATCTCCATCAAGTTGGGTTCCAGACTGGCCACTATAATCTAACATTAATTCTTGGTTCACGAGTGCTTGACGGACACCGATACCATCTGCGAAGTTCTTTTTCTTAATGCGCAGTTCCTCCTTCAGGTGTTTTGAAAACAGCAAGAGTTGAGTGTCATCTATCGCCCTATCATGGAGTTCAATCTCCATTAGGTTGGGTTCCAGACTGGCCACTATGCTCTTTGCTATTTCCAGAGGACCGTCGGGAGCTCTTAGCGCTTCGAGTTTTTGCTCGATTATTAGTTTCGCCTCGGCAGTTGGAGCGGGGTCAGTTTTAGCTAACTCGGCCTCAAGTTTTAAGATCTCCGCCTCACATTCCTTCTGTCGTTTTTTAGCAACTTCGGCCTGTTCGCGAGGGGCCATATCTAATAATTTTCTGTCGACCATGTCGTACAAATCAGTTACAACTCGTGACATGTCGAGCTGAGAAACATTAGTTGTTCCAGTGGCCATTTTTTCTAATCACAGTCCTCCACACACAAGTTGCACTTAGTCACTCACTTGCGATTTTCGCGACCGTATTCTACAGCACTTTTCCGCAAGCGCTGGCGGTTGAGTAGAGTGGTAACTGTTTTGTTGGCTTGTCAAACTTCGAATTTTGAATAAAGCACTTGAAGTTTTGCTCTTGACAGTTAACACCACTCACCCCGGGTAAAAAGAAGAAAACGGCTGTGCCAATTTTGTTATCCCAAACTGTTGGATGTAAATAAACTTTATAAGAAACTGCACAAGAACGTCTTCTTGTTTTCAGGTCTTTAAGTTTATCCGATGGTTGCTCGTTGAGATAATCTTTGTCGAGAAGTTTTAATCTTATGGCCGGAGTAAAGCGAATGAGGCAACTTCTCGTTTGATTCAATACGTATATTTCTGATACAGCACAACAACAGTCCAGACCAGCAATGAGCAACGAAAGGAGTGTTCGGACGCTCCTTTATAGACACTGTATGCGCGGAAAGGGTTACTGACCACGCAGGACCGGAATAAACAGAAAGTAAAAGCCGTTGTTCTTGAAGCGTTTTCCAAGAATCGTCTCCAGCAGCAGCAGGAGAAATAATTGTGAGTTTTGAGGAATTCCAACATTTTTTTTCAGTTATTTGCACATGTTTTGGACCATCATTTTATTGCTGCAGTGAGGCATATTGTTGTTGGAGGGCAATGTTCTTCTTTTTTCCATGGAAGTGCCAGAACTTTCAAAAGTCACCCAGCAGCAGTTTCTGAATCAATGCCAGAATGCGATTTCACCCCTCCTGCCTACAAGGTATGTATATATATTTGTGGTGAAAAAAAGATAAGAAATATATACTTCAAATTTCATTATAATGAATACCAGTAAAGTGTAATGATATTATTCTCAATACCAGAAAAATTTCGAAGATCTCAACCAAAACTATACAAGTAATGCCAGAATATATTATATCATAATTTTAAAATAGCAAATAATTTCATTATTCAGTCAAATAAATTAGTTCTGAGGATCTTTATGCACTTTTCTGATTGTATATATATATATATTATAGGAATAAAAAATTAATCTTTCTGGAAAGTCTTTGTAGCTGTATTTTTCTGCTGTGAGGAATGTGCTTAGCTGCTGGCAAATTTTATAATTTTCCTCAAGTACTGTATGTTGATTTCTACAGGAAAATATCTTGTTTGAAGGAATTGATGATTCTTCTGCCAAAAAGTATGACAGGAATTTGAATATACCCATTTTCTGACTGCAAAGTATGGCTTAAATGCCTTTACTTTCCATAAATGCTCATCATGGCTTCCCAATTATTGCACCTGCATTTATACAACCAGCACCACATTATGATCAATGTTCCCAAAAATGTTGGGGAAATCATTGCATAATTATTGCAGTTTCCTGAAGTAAATTATGGCCAATGACACAAATAAGTGGACAGATATGCTGTAACTTCATCATTCATCACGTTTTTTCTTCTATAAATGGTGTGACATTTACAAAATGAAGGGTCAACAAAGTTGACAGGAATTGTATCCACTTTCCTGCATAAATTTGCATAAAGCGCATTCATTTGTTCATAATACTGTACTGTAATTAACAAAGTGGGTATATTTAAATTTATGCTAAACAGTGTGTCAATGCTGTACTCTGAAGAAAACGTTGGGAAAATATCATCAAAATGCTCTTTTAATGTTTTTGAACCAATATAATGATGAAATGGAAATTAATGATCTCTGTAGTAATTTTCAAGCTCCCAGAATTAACTTCTACTCATGAGTACTTGATACAAACTTTTGTTGTTGACAGGGACCATCCTTGGATGAATGCTTGGAGATAAGGAAAGCAAATTTGTTTCCTGGTCTGGTTACCTTTTACAAGAAACCCGTGTTAATCCACCAAGGACACAAGCAATGGTTGTTTGACCACACTGGAAAGAGATACTTGGATTTCTTTGCTGGGATTGTCACAGTGTCCCTTGGGCATGCTCATGAGTAAGAATTAGTACATCATCCTATGGCATGCATACCTGCTTGAATTCAACTTGATGCAACTGTTCATGTGATTTTTAGCTGTAAATTTAAAAAATAACTAATGTCTTTTGCAACCTAAATAGTAAGTTTCAGTTTTGCCTATTTTGTGTCATTTTGGTGGGTCAGGTGTCAGGTCAGAAAATTTTTTTCAAGATCTAAGAATGATGTTTATTCCTTGTATTTTTCAAGACTTTCAATGAAATTTACTAAAACAAATTTGTTTATTACATTGGGGTGTGATTTCTATTACTTGAAACTAAATGATGAAACAGAATTAAGTGTGCCATGAACTCCAGCAGCAATCAATATTTTGCTTTGTTATATTCACATACAGTCCTTTAAAGCACAGACATATGCATGGGTTTGATCTTTTTACCCAGCAAAAATACACTCAAGTATTTAAAATCCTCTTCTTCACAGGGCAACAACTAAAGCATTGAAGGACCAGGCAGATGTTTTGTGGCACACCACAAGCATATATCCTCATCCTCAGATCCACCAATATGCAAAAGAGTTGACAGACCGTATGCCAGGGAATCTCAAAGTGTGCATGTTCTTCAGCAGTGGAACAGAGGCCAATGACTTGGCAGTGTACCTTTCCAGGATTCACACAGGGGCCTATGATGTTATATCGCTCAGAAATGGGTACCATGGGGCAGGAGGCACTCCTTGGGGCCTAACAGCCACCTCTGTGTACAGACATGTGACACCCACTGGATTTGGGATCCATCATGTGAGTCAATCTGGAGCATGTCTTGTTATCCCTGGAAACGTACAAGTATTTGTGTATCTCCTTTTATCAAGGTTTGGAATGACCAACTAAGGAAGTCTTTGCAAGACAAAATTATAGTAGATTAAAAAATTAATCTAAAAAACCACGTTTTTCAAGTAAGACTAAAAAGCACAAAAAAATTTAGTAGATTGAAAAATTAATCTAAATAACCACGTTTTGAAAAAAGAAAAAATAACCTTAAACGTGGTGCGAGTTGCAAAATTTGATCCGGACAAACAAACGGACAAGAAAGCAAGTTAATAAAAACGTGTTAAAATAGTCTTTATTCAATAAGCAGTATACACACAACAGTGTTACCAAATAACCACAAGACAAGGGGATCTTCAAGTAATCTATTGGGACCTGATACCTCTGATACTAAATGACTCCTGAGCTAAAATGCCTGTCTTCCTTAATCTGACCAGGGGTTTATATACTGCCAATTCAGGGGTAAAACCTGGAAGGGGAAGGACACCTGTGTGCGCGTGTGCAGGTGTCTCTTTACGACTTCCACGCACCGGGGGTTACTACGCAGTCACATGGTTGCTATGCGCTGGGGTTGCTATGTGCGTGTTGTCAGGGTACATGCACGTGTCGGTTAGTAAACGTGTACTGGGATGGAAGAATATTAATATAATCTTTTATATTAATATATTATCTCTTCCAGGTGTTATTAATGACACCAAATTTCTATATCTGCGGTAATGCAAATATTCTCGCTTTATGTCGGGGAATTATATCACATAATTTCCACCGATAACAGTCTCATGATTTTACAGTGTGATCCCAAGATGTGGACATAATTGGTGCATGAATGTACTTGTCCTCAAGTCAAAGCATCTGCATGTTGGGCCTAATTTTTTTCTATATACAGAACTTCAATGGGAATATTTGTAATTCCTGTGGATGAAAAGTCAAGACAAAGCCCTTCAAGAAATTGAATAAAATGCTGGAAAGCCAAAATAAGAAGAAAATAAAATTTTTCTGTTTTTGATTATGACTTACAGTAATTTTAAAGTAAAATTTATTTTAGCATTTTAAATGTCAATAGCTCAATTTTTTCAAAATAATGCAAAAATTTAGAAAAAATAAATTTTCTTATTCTTCCAGCAGAAATCTTGTAAAAGTGTCCATATCTTGAGTCACTGCCTGCATGGATATCAGGGGTAGATTTTTTCTAGTTTCAAGTGTCCCTAAGTTGAATTATCCCTAAATATATATTTTTTTCAGAGTCTCATTGTAATTCCTTTTTAACAGAATGAGATGTACAATAATATTCTTATATATGCTGTAGGCCATGAACCCTGATGTGTTTCGTGGCCCCTGGGGAGGCCAGAGCTGCAGAGACTCTCCTAGCCAGGCTCAAAGAAGTTGCAGATGTGCCCCTGGTGAATGTGCAGCTTCAGACAAGTATGCAGACCAATTGAAAGACCTGATGATGCACTCTACTCCAAAAAGAATAGCTGGGTTTTTTGCAGAACCCATTCAGGTGAGTTGGATGTTTTTTTGGAGAGACAAAATGGCGAGGAAAAATTGTTTGGTTGGTTTGAAGAAGGGATGAAAAACACCAGTGATGAGCTTCATTATTTGGCTATATAGTCACTTTTACATGAAATCCCTTAATTCTTTATAATTTATTATAGAATCCCTGCACAAAAGAAACCCCCTTTCATGACATTATGGGAATTATAAATATTGTATAGTTCATTGGTGATTCTCAATGTGGAAATTATTTGAATTGTTCAGCTGCACATTAATGCTTTATCCATGATTTAGGTTCCTAAATTTTTAATATGCTAATAGTTGAATATTTCTGTTTTCAAAATGGCCATTATAGGTCTTGGTACATTTAAAGCTCCTAATTTTTCAGAAGTTCATATAGGGTTATTTTATCCATTTTTGTTTGGGGGCTAGAAATCCTGTAATTTTCTGCCAGCATTTGAAGTATTGTCAGTCCAAAAATAATAATTTAGGAAAGCATGAACAATCAATATTATATCTGCAGCTTTTGCATGCTGAAGGTCCTGCTTGAGTCTTTCATTATATATGGGCCATTTCATCTTTGTGCTGCAGCAAAATTATCAAGATTCTCAGCTCAGTGTGTGACAATAATGTATGTGATGGAGGAGTCTTACTAATTTTTGGGGTCTTTTCTATACTGTATGTTCTTTTCTAAATTTTTCCATCTTCAATGTATACATACACATTGTCAAATTATTCAAACCTATGCTTTTAGATCATTACATTGTATATGCTAAAAATGCTCAACTAATCTGGTAAATCTGAGGAGTTTCACTCATTTGTCAGTTTATTGAGTAAGATTTGATATTTATTGCTCAAACACCTTGATTTTTTTATGAACTAAGTACCAGGACAACTTGTGGAAAGTTCCCCCTGACAATAGCTGAGTATGATTGACACTTATTTCTGAATCCTGGAAATACTGTTTCTTTCCAGGGTGTTGGTGGAACTGTTCAAATGCCTAAAGGTTTTCTGAAGAAAGCAGCTGACCTGGTGAGGGAGAGAGGAGGCCTGGTAATCACAGATGAGGTAAATTTGGCATTATACAGCAGAATATGCAGTATCATTGCATTTTAAAGAAGACTCAGTGAAAGATTGAATACATGTATCATTTAGAAAGTGTATTATGGAATCTTGAACAGCTTTTTTAAAGTGGAGAAGAATGCAGTTCTTCTTCAAGAAATGTCAGTATAACACTTCTGTCAGGACTGGAAATAATTTAATTTTCCTTTTTTTCTCAGGTCCAGACTGGATTTGGTCGCACAGGGACCCATTTCTGGGGCTTTGAGTCTCATGGTATCATCCCAGACATTGTAACCATGGCCAAAGGCATGGGTAATGGATACCCACTAGCAGCATTGGTGACAACCCCTGAAATTGCTTCTAGTTTGTCTAAAGCTGTTCACTTCACCACATTTGGAGGAAGTCCTCTTGCTTGTGCAGTTGGGCGTTCAGTCTTGAAGGTAACTATATTGATGGTGTATAAATGTCAAAAATGAGAAATTTGCATTGAATGTCATTCTGGTTGGGTATGGATATGCAGAGCATGGGTTACCATGATTTTGGATGGATTCTCTCCCTTTCTTTTGTTGCAAAATATCATCAAATGCTCAAATCCATATACCGTTTCCCCACTTGGAAAAGGTCTGCCATAAATATATCCTGAGTGGGGAAAATGGTGCACACTTGGTATATGCATGTATTTCCACACAGTGTAACAAATAAGTTACACCAAGGTTACAGTTGGTGCATTTGTGTGATACTCCTGTTATGTCACATTTGTGCACCAAATGTAGCCCTGCAATGGTAGCAAAAGTTCATCTACAGAGGTGCATGCTTGTAACCCCAGAATAGCCAATGTACACCAGTTGTGACCCCAGCGTGCACCAGTTGTGCGGTCACACAAAGAATAGCTCCCCACTTGGGATATGTATTTAATGCAGATGAGCATGTGTACCAGCAGAGGTTTCTTTAAATCAACATGAATGAATTCATTCTTTTGCAATAAGATATACAACTGCCCCTTGAGATAATTATTTTAATTACAGTGTAGTATTCATATTGGAGAAAGAACAGCAGTAACCCAAAATACTGTATATGCAAAATTGTTCTTCAACCAACAGAGTGCAAGCAACCACCAGTAATATAGGCATGGCAAGAGGAACCATAGGAATATTCACTTGAGTATAATCCATGCATTATTGATCATCTGACCAATTGGTCTTCTTCCCATCATCAGGCAATGGATGCAGAGAAGACCCAGGACAACTGTCACAAAGTTGGCACTTACCTTTTGGAGCAGCTGATGGGGCTCCAAAGGGAATTCCCCACTTGGATTGGGGATGTCAGAGGCAAGGGCTTGATGGTGGGAGTTGAGATGGTCAATGGTCAGGGGTCAATAGAGAAAGGCAGTGGAAGAACCTGCTCCATAGAGCCCATCCCACCCCAAATCATGGCAGACATCTGGGAGCATACAAAGGACATGGGCTTGCTTCTTGGCAAAGGAGGAGTACATGGCAATGTGAGATATTTATGAACTGTAGATTTTCTTTATACAAGAAACCTTTGTTATTATAGCAGTTTCACTTGGAACTGTGCACAGTCTTTGAGGCTTTTGAATTTACCTCAAGACTATACACAATAAATAATTTTGAATTCCTAAAAATGTTCAAGTCCAATCAATTTGTGCATAAAAACTCATTAAATTCCAAACACTGCAGCTGAAATCAAAACCAAAGTATTGTGCTCTTATTCATTTGCACCTGACCTGTAATGTATATATAGCACTATCTGGTTATTTGAACTGCAATCCCTGTTGACCAAAGAGTTTGTTAATTGAGGTTTGTTGAGCAAGGGTCCATATCAACTGCATTTTCATTGCTGGGTAACATATGAGTATTTACTTGATGGAATTAAGGAAGCAGACAAAAATATTTAGTTCTTGCGCATGTATATTATTCAGATGATGGAGATCCACTAAGTTATATATTTCTCTTTTGCATATCACACAGGTCTTCAGGATCAAACCGCCCATGTGCGTCACAAAGCAAGACGTGGATTTTGCCATATCTGTATTTAGGGAAGCCATCAAAATGAGTCTTCCAAGGTTGTGATCAAGAGGCATCAGAATCAAATCTTTTGGTTTCCTTCCAGCAGTTGTACTACTTGTACATGCAAATTTGTGATCATGTATAAAGTATGAATAAATTGAGGTGTTGGAAAATATTTTGTATCTGTGTGAACTATGGGCATTGGTTTGTTTTATGAGAAAAGCAGTTGGAAGTGCCCAGAAGCAGCCACATCATCTGGGCATCAATATTTTTTTTTTTACATTTTTGTCTCTTACAGTACTTTGTTAATGAAGCTTTTTTGAAGTTTGGAAAAAAGGTTGGAAACCTCACTTGCGCTTTGAATAATGCAGCAGCTAAAAATATGGAGTTTGGTGTCCTATAGAGCATTTTTGAAAAATGTTTGAACTTGCTAGAACATATATGAGCAGATGATAGGTAAGAAATCTGAAAAAAAGCCGCGCGAAATCAGCTTGCTTCTGATTATGAATTAGAGTTAATTTATCATGAAATATTTCTTCACTTCCTGTGAATGTAAATAACTTGATTTCTTCAAAATACTGGGCATGAAAATTCAAAATTAAATGTTTTCAATTTGTTTTGACAATTTTCAGAAAAGTGTACCTAAATTGTGCCAATGCTGGGCCTGATTCTTTGGCTTTCAAGTGTCCCTACGTCAAATTGTCCATATGTCAAGGTGTCTGCATATTGGGGTCTTGCTGTATACTTCCATGAATCTGGATATATAGCAACAGTCTTGCTCAACCCACCATGTAGAAACAGATGTGGTCACTACTGGTCAGTTACCTTTTGAGTAGCCATCCCAGTTTCCATTGAGGTTATGTGTGGTCAAATGGTCATACACCGGTGCACTGAATCTACAAAGAAGTGTCCAAACACTCTTTCTGGTCATTCATTGCTGGTCTGGTCTTGGGTATTCTCTAAGGGAAATACAAGATATATTCACTAAACCATCAGAAATTCAGAAGTCTGTTCACTTGTTTACACCCTGGCCATAAGAGATTGAACTTCTTGACTTAGATTATTCTAACAGGTAATTTTAGAGCAGAATAGATTTATTGCAAAAGAAAGACATTTTATGAGGTCTACATTATTCTGAGCAACTCTAACAACTTAGGATAACACTGCAATTTTTTTTGGCAAATGGGCAGTAAATACTATGCAAATACATTTTTTTTAATTTGGACTTGTAGAAACTTGGTTGGATCTTTTTAAAAAAGCTTGAAAACTTATGAACCAATACCCTCATTTATACTCTAAAAGTCATTATCATTCACTGGACAGAGAACCACAACAATTATTCACTGTCTCTTAAATCAACGCGTGAATGTTTTTAGTTTGATGTGTATACTTCTGGGATAAGGAATTGATGAATGTTGAGCAGATATCCTCCCATTCGACAGGTCTGATAGATCCTCTTAATAAAATAGTATTCGTCGCAAAAAATGAGCACTGGCCGACGGAATCAATTCTAAAAAGTGTGGCCGCCCAGTGAAAATTAATCCCCACGTTTATTAAATTATTTTTCTTATCCTCTTTTTTTTTTTTACTACCACACACCCAGGATGAAAGAAAGAATATGAAAGACACCAGCAACAAAATACAGTATATTGAACGAATTTCACCGATTAAAAGCGATGCCTTGAATAAGAAGGAGTTTGAAAATAAAACGAAAAAATACGGCATTACATTTTGCCTCACTGCCGTATTTTTCATTTCCAACGAATTTTTTCGCTTTTTTTTTTCGTTTGTGTGTTCGCCACATTTGAAGAAATAAGTAACAAACTTTCCAGTATTATACCTCAGAATTTCCTGAGGGGAATTTTTTTTTCTTAATGTTTGGAGTTCCAACAAAATTGCTAATTATTTCCGTCGCTTCCGTAAAACCCTTCATTTATACTCGCATCATAATACGCTATAAAGCGTTAATGCTCAATTGCTAAGACTCATTATGGGAGGATTTCTATTAATCGTTTTTCTCTATATATGTGACTAAATATTTGATGCTGTGGTGGTCATTTATAGGCAATGCTTTGCATATATTCCCATGCTTAGGATAAATTGAAACGCATTTTCAAAGTCTTTTTGCAATGAATAAGCTTTTTGCCATGAGCCCCAGACAGGGTTTTTCAATATTTTGTGATCAATCAAAATATTAGAATCGAATAAAATACTGTATGCCAAAGCATTCAGAAATAACCAGGCTATATATACATCAATTAGGACATACAAATTTTGAGTTTAGCTGCAGTATATAGAAAGTATACTTGGCAGTCCAAAAATCGTGTATCAACTTTCCAACTGAATTTGTGAGTTGGATTCAGGAAAATGTTCTTGTGGAATGAAAAAAAAATTTAGTAGATTAAAAAATTAATTTAAAAAACCACGTTTTCAAAGAGCAAAAAATAACCTTAAACGTGGTGCGCATCTATTTCATTTGTATTTCACTTCTTCCCAACAATCTCCATGCGCACCACGCTTAAGGTTATTTTTAACGCTTAAGGCATCTATTTCATTTGTATTTCACTTCTTCCCAACAANTATCCTGATCCTGAAAGTTTCAGCTTGCTAGCTAGTCTGGAAGTGAGTGAAATTTGAGTTTCAAAATTTGATCCGGACAAACAGACAGACAAGAAAGTGAGTTCATAAAAACGTGGTAAAATGGAAGAATATACAGCTTTATATAGTCAAATGAGGTCTTGAATTGTAGAAATCTTAATTGTGGAGCAAGTATACATGTTTTCACATACTCTTAGTTTTGGTGGTATTTTTGTGGAGTGGAAAAACCATCCAAGTCCCAAATGAGACCCATGGCAGCTGTATTAAGGGTTATAATTAAGGGGCTATATGAGGGCATTTGTTATGGTCACTTCAGATACGAGACCCACTGATGTGCAGCTGGTATGGGAGCGACACCTACACAATTATTATGACATGCTGTGTGCAGTTTTCAGCATCTGCCGCGCCCAGCTGTGCGCTGCAAGCGGACATATAAGCGCGCGACGCTTACCGATTCCTTGAGGTGCCTGAAGTTGGGAGGCAGTATGGAACAGGCCCGGAATTTGGTTCATGTTTATGAACTGATGGGGCGATGTACTTCGCCGTGTTTCAATTTCAAGTTGGTGATTTTATTTTAGTACTAGCTGATGGATCCCCTGGGGAAATGTCGGGGGTATCCGGTCAACCGAAACATGATTGAGAACAGCAAGAAGCAGGATTCAAGAAGTATGCATCGATTGTGATGAATGGGAGATTATTTATGGTTCTCAAGTCGGTGCCGAGAATATTTAAAAATTGGCCTGGGAAAGTACGTGGAGTTCTGCGGAATGCTCCGCGACTAAACTCATGACGGAATTATCACGGATGAATGAAATTATTTGTTAGATCGACCGTAAGCTTGGATCGTGAGATTTACCGTGACAAGTCAATCTCTGACATCGTTTGAGGTAGTTTTTGTATGATACTGTTCATGATTTGCTGACGGGTTACGTTTGTGGAAAGAGAAAAGTCAGATGCAGGAAAATTTGGGTGCTTTTTGTCCGAATTCGGTTCTTAAGTTACCCTAGAATTGTGGTATGGTTGACGTTTCTTAGCCCTTTTTTAGTCAGTTTTATTTGTATGTACCCATGTGTGCTTGAATTAATGTCGATTTGTCTTGTCTTGTTCTCAGCCGTTCCTTGCGCTCTTGGCTGGAATGATTCTTCCCCGCTAGGAAGAAAGGACCCAAGATATGCCGAAGTGGTGCTCGTGTAGCAAATGTAGTCCCATATTGACTAGTTCAGCATGGTGAATTTGACGCATTCCCGAAGTGTTTCGGCAAAGTGGGGCAGTGTGGATCCGCGAGCGCGTGATGCTTCTGAAGCGAAGTGTGGTTCTGTTGACAACGTGTTCGTATCTGTGCGTATCGATTCGGTTCTTCCACTGCGCATGCGCGCCAACGTTGATTACAGAAAAATTGCATACCAATTAGGGTATGAATTTGATCCTTGTAGGTACTGTAGCTAACTCACCTCGCCCCCTTGCATCATTCTTCAGTTTCCCTGATTAAAACCAATTTTTACAAGTGCCCAAAAAAATTTTGCAAATGCCGGAAATATCATAATACATACACCATGAAGATGTGTTCGCATCACTAATTGGCTTAATTGCTTTTGAGTTATTTGAAGAATGTACTGTACAGGTTTAATCTTTGAAAATTTATATTTTTATACGATATATGCTCAAATCACTTCCGGCTCATAATTTTGTATATAAAGAAGGACATTAGTTTTTTAAATAATGCGGTAGTTAATGCATACCCACTTTCATTCTTCTTGCACATTTTTGCAAGTTGGACTTCTGCATTCTTAACTAAGAATGCCTAAACAGGGCGTGTGTTTTGCATATTAGAAATTGATTATAATGGTTTGAAATCCTACCATTTTACTGTATTTGGTTTTCTTGAAAGTCAAGAATGCCTAACTTGAAAACAATTTGGGAATGGTTGGATTTCCAAAAATTTATATGTGGCAAGTCACACACACAAGCTGTATATAGTTCAAGTCATCATGAACCAAGTCTTTCACCAAAAGAAACCACTCTTCTGAGAAACTTAACTGAAAAGTGCTCACTCAATAAAACAACAGATAAGGTACAAAAGCAAAAGTTTGGACATTCCATGGGTTACACTAATGGTACCTCTACTGTTAGTCTAAGCTCTTCAGGATGCGCCATCCACATATTTATATTTCACTTGGTCCTCTTCAGAACAAATATCACCACTGGCAACATAGGTATATGAAATCAAAGATGGAGGGCTGTGCACTGTTGCCAAATGATTGGTTGGAAGGCTAGATTCAGGCTTTGCAAGGTTGTGATTTGCAGAAAATCTGCTGGCAACTCTCGCCTCCTGCAACTTGCTCTGGTTTTCTTGAAATGGGGTGTTCAAAGCTTGTTCACAGTCACCTCTGACTCAAACTAAGCAACAGTGCTCTGGAATTCGGATGACTTTCCTCACATCCAGCCAAAATTGATGTTGAAAAAGAAGTTGGGCATTGATATTGGATTTTTGTGTGTGTATCATTTAAAAACTTTATGGATTACAGTACATTATCATCTGGTCTTTGTCAGAAAAATTAGGATCATGTATTGTATACTGTAAAGATATACAGTACAGTGTTTGGAAATGGTTGGAAATCCAACCAATCTAATTTTTTTTAAGCATTGGGTCAATACTCAAGCCCCAGCCCCTCATGAGCTGATGGTCCCATGATGCTCAAATTATTTGCTGGGTATACAGGATATGTTGAGCGAGAACCTAATGTGCAACATACAGTATTCCCTACCTTGTGAAATTTTTTCTGACAGGCCAAATAATACAGTACAGTAAACTAGTGTAATTCATAGATTTTCCCGCATGTTACCCAAAGCCCAACTTTTCCATCTGCATCCATTTCCACTGATGCAGCTGAGGGAAGTCATCCTCATTTCAGAGCGCTGTTGTTTATTTTAAGTCTAGGGCGATTGTAAACAAGCTTCAAACGCCCCTGTTAAAGAAAAAGAAA